GAGAGAGAGAGAGAGAGAGAGAGAGAGAGAGAGAGAGAGAGAGAGAGAGAAAGAGAAAGAGAGAGAGAGAGAGAGAGAGAGAGATTGATTTTGAAGCACAAATAGTAAGATTATAAGGCCAGGGATCCTTAGTCTTTGGCCTTTGTCTGATGCTGTGTCCCACCCAGAACCATTCCCTAAAGACTGAGCAGGCCTTTGGCACTTGTGTGAAAACTTAAGGATTTAAAAGCTACCAACCTGTGTGAAAACTTAAGGATTTAAAAGCTACCAAAGGTAAACGTATTAGCAAATAATAGTAATACAAACTAAGGGACAGGGAAAGGAAAAAGGAGAGAAAAGGCAGAAAGAGGAAAGAAGACTATGGGATAAAAACATGAGAGATAATGGTGAAGGAAACAAAATATTAACACAATTAATGAGCAAAGCAAAATAATCTAGATAAAACCAAACAAATCAAATAGGTGAATATTAAGTGGATAATGGAGATACTTTTCTGCCACCTCACCAAGGGGTTGAAGTACAAGATAGTGGCTTGGTTTCTGCTTTCTCATCAGGTTAGACCAGAAATGGCAGTTTGTAGACTGAGCCTCACCATGCATATCCAGTTGGGGCTTGTTAGTTGCTGAGACCTCTGATAGGTTGAATGTCTGTTGTTGTGCATATGCAAGCCCAGCAACACAGCCAGTATAGGAACCACTTTCAGCTTGCTCTCACTTTAAGCCTGTGGACCAGCTGGTTGATTGCTCCCTTGTACCAGAGGCCTTCTGCCAGTATGATACCTGGGTGTGAGAAAGGTCTGAATAGTAGTTGTATTTAAACCAGATGTGCCCTAGGCTCCAAGAGTGTGCATAAAAGAGTCAAACCAAAGCAGTGTGTTCTTCCCAGTTTCCACCCCTATCCTCCTGCCTTAGTACAGAATACAAAAGTAGGGCACCAAGTGATACAGTGTGACACAAGTGATAAAGAGACTTTGCCTGTCCTAGCCTCCATGTGTGATACATTATTTGGTCTCACTCTTCTTTGCAGAGCTCAATCTGTAGTTCCCTAATAGAAAAGCCTTTGTATAGTTCCATAGCATGCCATGTTTTCACTTGCCCTTAAGTGACTAGGCTCACCATTAATGACACATTGATGGGATACTGAACCTGATATCTGCTTACTAGCCTAGTACTGTAGAGCTCAACAGTCAAACTGCAGATTCATAAGAATAAAGTAAGTTTGTTTTCTGCTGAATTTTTGAGATTGCTAGTTATCTAAGAAAAACTATTATGCAGCCTAATTCTGTTAATATTCACCAATGTTTTACTTGAAGCATACATTTTTAGATTTTGTTTGCAGCATCAATGAGTTCAAGTATAATCTTATAGCACAAAGAAGATAAAAAGAAAATGTTTCTAAACAGAGTAATGAACTAGGACAGCCAAACTGGACTAATTACACTATGATTCCTTAAGGATTATCAGATCCTAAAATTATCAGCTCATTTTTAACAGTGGAACATTGTGAGAGCTGGTACTTCACTAAATGAAAGGCAGCATTTTGAATACATCCCTTCATAAAAAAAAATCCATGCTGATTTTGATCACTAAAGGACTTGTTAGTTTGTAAATTACCGTAATGGAATATCTCTTTGATTGCAAATCTGTTAAATAATATAATTTTGTATAAATCAATTTCAGATGTTTTGAAAGCCCAGTGATTAGATAAACAGGCTTGAAAAGATAGGTCTATGAGAAACATTGTTTATCTGATCAGGCAGAGGCAGGGAGAAAAAAACAGAACATACTAAACACAGTGGTCAGCGGCTAAGAAGAATAAAGTTTTAATACGCTGGTAGAAGTTCTAAAATCCAAGGATAAGTAGTAACATTCTATATTTCTGCCTCCTGAATATCGGTGACACATTAGTAATGATCAGGACTAAGGTAGTGGTAGGAGAGTGGACAGAACATGGAATTTTGAAATATATTTTAGATTGGTAATCTGCAGAACTATTGTCATGTGTTGCAAAGTTTGAAAAAGAAAGAATTTAGAGATGATTTATAGGTTTCAAACTGAAAAATATGTGATTAGAGATAAATGCCCGTGCCATTCTTTCCTGAACTACATACAATTCACAAACCATTAAACTCAGCATTCCCAAGTATTCCAATGGCTCTTAGCATACTCACTATGCTATATGAACATCATTGCTCTATTATCCATCATCCCAAAAGAAAACACCTGGCCTGTTGAGCAGCTGTCCCTTCCCTTTCCTGGGATGATGTGGAAACTACAGTCTAATTTTTGTCTTCTTTGATTCATCTCTCCAGAACATCTTACATATAAGCCGAATCATATTCTATGTGGCTTTTTGTGACTTCTTTCACTCAGCATTAGCTTTTAAGACTCTTTCAGCTATATGTCATATGTCAGACTGTAATGGGAGATATTTAAAAATCCACACTCAGTCTGGCTTGTTCCTGGGCAGCCACCATGTTCCCGCTGTTCTCGCTCAGACCATGGCTCCAGCTAGCTAGAAGTGCTGGCCTTGGCACCCACAAGACACCAGCGTGGCGGCTGCCTCTACCAACCCACCACACTGCCCCCACAGTACTCGGCTGCACTCCTAATATCTGCCATGCTCGTGGTGCCTGGTGGAATGATTGTTAACCTGGACTGCTTTCAACACATCCATCTTCCTTCATGATTGCTAGCTGTCTCTCCCTTTCTCCCCCCCTTCCTCTTTCCTTCTCCCGGTTCCACCTCCTCTTCTACTGCCCAATCACCGAGCTACACTACAAATACAATGTAACAGATAAGTATCCTGCTACATCAGACCATCATCCCTTTGATAGCCAAATATTTAATTTATGTGAAATATGGTATATATATGTACATATATATACATATGTATATGTATATATATATATATCACATTTATCAATTTATGACATTTGGGTTGTTTCTACTTTTTGGCTATTATGAATAATGCTACTGCAAATATTCATGTTGAAGTGTTGGTTGTAAACCTGTGTTTAGTGCTTTTCGTTGTATACATGAAACAATGAATTGAGTCATATTCTGAATCTGTGTTTAACTTTTGGATGAGCCACCTATTTTACACAGAACCTACACCATTTCTCACCTCTGCTAGTATATGATAGTTTCATTTTTCTATACATTTAACAGTTGTTTTGGGTTATTTGGATTGGTAATCTTCAGAAGTATATGTTCAAAGAGTTGGTTAGAGAAAAAATTTAGCAATGATTTTTAGGCTTCTGAACTAAAAAATACATGGTAAGAGGTGTCATTTTTTATTGAACTACAGTTCACAACCATAGCACACACATATAGTTCACATATTATAGTACACACATACAATTCACATACCATACAATATGTATACCCACGTCAAGATCAGAGAACAACTTGTAGGAGTGATTTTTTTCTTTCTACCATGTGGGTTCTGGTAATTGAACTTAGGTTATCAGGTTTGGCAATAAACATTCATACCCACTGAACCTTAAAAGTATCCATTTATTCTTTTCTTTGTTCTTAAAAGTAGTATTTATCTTAGTGGCTATAAAGTAGGGTCTCATTTGACTTTGATTTACTTTTCTAGAAAGATTGTTCAAGCATATTTTCAAATGCAAAGGGACCATTTATGAGTCCTTGTATAAATACCTACTCAAGTCCTTTGCCCAATTTTTAATTGTGTGCGTGTCTTTTTGTTGTTGTGTTGTAAGACTTCTTTATATATTATAAAACCTAGACTCACCAAAAATATTTGTAAGTATTTTTCCATTCTGAGAATTGTATTTTCATTTTTAATAGCATTCTTTGATACCCAAAATGTTTTTTTTCTGACGGGGGGTTGGTTTGGTTTTAAATAAAATACAGTTTATTCACTTTTCTCTTGCTTATGCTTTGGTACCATTTATTCAAGAACACATTTCTATTTTTGTAGAATTACTCTTTTTTAAAAAATGCATTTTTTTGCATAAGTATGTGTGGGTAACTATACACCCACAGTGTGCATCTGGTGGTCAGAGGCTAGCTTGCAGGATTTGTTTCTGTTCTTTCATCATGTAGGTCCTGGGGTAGCTCAGGTGGTCAGACTTAGCAGGAAGTACCTGTGTTTGCTGAGCCTTCTCATCGGCCTATATTTCTGTTCTTTTGGTTCTCTAGTTATCATCCTAATATTTTCTAGTTATCTTGTCTATATAAATTTGCCTTATAATTATCTAAATTTTAATTATTTTAATACTCTAAAATTCTAAACTTTTAGTTTCTTAACATATTAGGCATTCTTCTTTAAATGTTGTTCCTTGTTGATGAACACGTTGTATTTTCTGCCAAGTTATATTTGGTTTATTTGGCTTTTTTCTGCCTTCCCCCCCCCTCTCTCTCTCCCTGTCACACACACACACAATTGCTTATTTATTTACTTATTTATTTTATTCAATACTAAAGATTGAACGTAGGGCCTCGAGAATGTGAGACAAGGAGTCTGGCCATGGAGTTATAGCTCCAGCTTATATGATTTTTCTGATTCATCTTCAATATATATGTGTTACTGTTAATTAATGGCCAAATACTGTGTATGCAATTTTTTTCTGTGTATAGCAAATTTGTGTAAATAATTTAAAACCTATTATGATGGCTCTTGTTTTTGTGGTCCTAGCAACCTACTATTATCTTAATTTATGGGAGTTATGGTTGTAAGATGCAGCCTGTCTCTGTCTTTTTTCTTTTCTTTTCTTTCCTTTTCTTTTCTTTCTTTTTTCCTTCCTCCTTCATTTTCCTTTCTTCCTTCCGTCCATACCTCCTTCCCAATAAATATACAAATGAGTGTGTATGTGTGTGTCTGCATGCATGCATGCATGTGCATGTGTGTTACATACTGTTCTGAATCATCTTTATCATCTCTTGTACTCTCCTTTCCTATTAACAGGTGGCATCTCCACAGAAAGCGATTGTGCTTTTGAGCCAGACTACGCTGTTCCACCACTTCCAGTGAGTGAAGGTATGCAGCACATTCGGATTATGGAGGGCATGTCTCGCTCTCTTCCATCCTCCCCCTTACTCACACATCAGTCTATCAGTGTTCGGCTCCAACCTGTGAAGAAGTTAACTGGTAAGGAATTTACCTGAATTTAGTATGTTTGACAGGAAACCTGACAGTATGACACTTTAGGTGACATAGATGTGTGTATGTGCATCTTCAGATTACCCCCCTTTGGCCTTCCCACTGTCATAAGACTCTTAGAAAGTGAAGCTCCTACTGATTTTAATTTAGCAAATTAGAGCCATACTCATTTTGGCAGGTTGATGTATTCATTTCTAAGTGACCCATCTGTTGTGGACATGTTTTTCTAGATTTTCAGGAAGTTCTTAGTTTTGCCAGAATACACTGTTGTTTTGACTTCACTTACCAGCTTGTTCCTGTCACATTAACAGATGGAGACATTGGAATTTTAGTTGTATTAGAGCTTGACAGATCAGTAAATGTATAGACATTAGCCATGTTTTTGTTTAAAATCATGATTTCTAGATTTCATCTCTAGTGTTCAAATCTGACTTGAATGTTTTCTCTTCATAGACCATTACAGCTCCTTGGGATATTTACTGTGATTCATAAATTGTTATGGCACTGACTTTAAATACATCTCAAAATCTGTATTGCTCATTCAGTTAGGTTTAAAAGTAGGTCTTTATTGAATGGACTTTTGACCTCAACATTTGCAGGGAAGAAATTGTAAGGTATTACTGAAGAATCTTTCCGTGTGAAGATATGAAAGCCTGGGTCACATGGTTAGATTCTTCTGACATCAGTATATTAAAACAAAATATGTTAATTATACAAAATGATGACTTTCACTGTGGCATTTTAGGCAGCATCCTCTAGCTAGCTGCCAGTGGATGGGGTTGATGGATTGAGTACATAAAGGATGAAATTAAGGGCATATTGATTGTTTCCTCTGTGCCTGATAGTGAACACAGTAGGAGATTTGGTTGTTATGCCATGTTCAAAAGAAAAGAAGGAAGAGGGTAAAATGAGACTTTTTGACTCTTATAAATAGAATGAACCACTTAATGTTTGTAATTTTCACCAAAGTATAGTATTTCATTATTCAGTAGTTTCATAAAGCTTAAGAGTTTGACTTCTTTACATTGCTGGTTGTATTTTAGGCATTTTCAGGTAACTTGAGTGAGTCAAAGTATTGACTTAGGTCATTAGATAAAAATTCTTAAAATAGCTTAACACAGTAGCCTAAAATACTGGTTCCTGTTCAAAGTCTAAAATTATAATCAATTTTAACATGGTATGACAAGAATAAGCTTTGATTGCTTAGAAATCATCTCATTTTTGCAGTTAAAGGTGTCATTAATAAAAACACAAAATGCAAAATCTGATAGCTGCTGTGTGTTTGTTTCATTTCGCACACCCCATGGGGAAAGTACAAAAAAGTTCCCATTTCTGTGAAGTAAGCTAGATAGCATGGGGTTTTATGGTACCTACCTGATTGACTTATACCAATTTCACTATCAGTCTAAATAGCTATCTTTGTTAAAATATAAATTCACTTAATAACAAAGTCAGTAACTCACTATTTCAGAGGTGATGTCATAGTACAGTAAGATGGGGTATAGTTGACTTAACAACATGTATGAACCACTGAGTTTTAATTTTACAGTATTTTAAATGTGTGGAACTTCCCATAAAGTTTTACTTACTGAAGAATGTAAACAACCTAAGCATTAAAGACTAAGAGTGAATTTTAAATTTATGAAAGAAGGAAATAGTTTTCTTTTTTTTTTTATTTTTTTTTATTATTGGATGATTTATTTACATTTCCTATGTTGTCCCCTTACCCCATCCCCCACCACCCCCTCGGAATCACCAAAGGTAGATGCTGATGTGGAAGACAGGAAGTGCATGCTGATAAGAGCCTGATATGGATATCTCCTCAGAGGCCTTCAAGAGTCAGACATATTCAGAGGCAGATGCTCACAACTAGCCATTGAACTGATCATGGGGTTCTCAATAGAGGAGTTAGAGTGAAGACTGAAGGAGCTGAAAGGGTTTGTGGCACCATGAGGAGAGCAACAATACCAACCAACCACAGCTCCCAGGGTCTAAACCACCAGCCTGGGAGCACTTAGGGGGGGATCCAGGGCTTCAGCTGAATATGTAAAAGTGGAGGGCCCTGCTGGGCATAGGTGGAAGAAGAGAACCTTGACCTCATGAAGGCTGGATGCCCCAGGGGGTGGGAATTTTGAGGGTGGGGAGGTGGGAGTGGTATTTACACAATGGAGTATTACTCAGCTATTAAAAACAATGAATTCGAGAGGTTCCTAGGTAAATGGATGGAACTAGAAATTATCATCCTGAGTGAGGTAAGCCAATCACAAAAGAAGACACATGGTATTCACTCACTGATTATTGGATATTAGCCTAGAACCTTGAAATGCCCAAGATGCAACTCACAGGCCACATGAAGCCCATAAAGAAGGAAGACCAAGTGAGGAAATAGTTTTCTTTAAAAAAATCCTTAAAATGTTTCTTTGAAGGCCTAAAATCAGCAATAGGCCTGTCATACATGTATACTAACACCAAGTCTTGGGTCTCTGTAGAAAAACAGATGGCTATAAGCTATTGTAAACAGGCAGCCTTTGTGGAAATTTACCAGCCTGAGTAGTCATAGACCTTGTAAATAGGTAGCCTTGGTGGATAATACCAACTTAGATGAGGACAAGTGAATCATAGGCAGAGTCATAGTGACCTGTCTCCTGAACCTTCACCCAGCCAATACCCTGTTCTGAAAGATATCTGTACCCCTCTGAACACCCATGCTCCGGTGTCTTCCCCTTCCCCATGCCCTGCCTTTTTGTGTTTATAACCCCAGTGTGAATAAGTAAAAATTATGATTTGATTTAAAATAATTAAAAAAAATGTTTCTTTGATCATTTCCCCCATGTAAGGCAGATGATAAACTTGTCCATTTAAATGAAATAAATGAAAATATTTCAAAATTTAAAAGACATTCTTGGTCCATAGATTGCTTTTAACCCTTTTCCTAATTACGTTTTGTTTAAATAAAAAAAACTTAAAGGAAGAAACTACAGACAATATGGAAATACCCGCCAGAGATACTTAACCAAAAGGCACAAATTTAATGAGGCCATTAAGGCTGTACTTAACTAATCTATATATTTCTATAGATTTAAACTTCCAAGTATTACTTTTATGCATAGTACCTACCTACTAAACAGAATAAATAGTGTTAGCTTGTTTTATTTCTCTTATGGCTTTCTAATATTTGGTTTCCTGTTTTAGGACTAATGTTTCTAATATTTCTAATATTTGGTTTCCTGTTTTATCATAAGGCTCAGTAATTCATAAAATTCATAAATAATTTGTTTAGAACTATATGCTAGATACTACTCTAAGTAAAACATAGTGAAAAAGACAATGTCTTGCTTCAAGGTTTTTATATTTTCAGTTGTGAGGGATATTGATAAGAAATATATAACCACTGGATATGGCTTTACAAACCCAGAGGCAGGCAGATCTCTGTGCATACCAGGCAAGCCTGGTTTACACAGTTCCAGGACAGCCAGTGCTACATAGACCCTGTTTAACTGGGGGCAGGGTTGGGGAATAACCAGTAACCAAAAAGCAAATAATTTTAGGTAGAACAAGCATTATGAAGGTATGAAGTATGGAAATATGTGCAGAGAAATTGGGGTGGAAATGGAGGGTTTTTTTCCCTATGGAATAATACAAGAGGAAGAGAAGTAAAGAACAAGGTCTAGGGGGAGAATTGTTTAATAGTGTCAGGGGAGAGGTGAATAGAAAGTGAATTGAAGAAACAGACAGAGGTTGGAAATGTTTTGCCTTGTAAGGAGCCTACTTTGATTGTAAGATCATAAGCAGAGGTGGGATGGGAAGTAATACAGTCTGCTTCAACTTTTAATTGGATCTTGTTGGCAAGTGTGGAGAGCATAGAGTGGCATTCATTCTGTTCATCAACCTTGCAGGAATGGGTTCCTTCTCAGTTCTACATGAGTCCCAGGGATTGAATTCAGGTCATCAGGCTTGTCAACAAGTGCCTTTATCCACTGAGCTGTCTCATCAGCCCTCTTCATTAACCTTTTACATGTTTCTCTAAGCTTTAAATAGTCTTCAGTTTCAAACAAGTTGAGTACTTTTGAAATTATTGTAAGATACTACAGAGGATTATCCTTTTCGTGTCTTTTTGGGGCAGCTTTTGTGTTCAACATATTTTTATGTTAGTCTGTTAGCACATGTATATGTGAAGAAGACCTGTTTGCAGAAAGACTTGTTGCATTTTCAGTATTTTGACTTGTTTACTAAAACTTAAAAAGACTCAATGACTTAGAGCTTGAAGGTAGATTTTAAACATATAGATGCATTCCTCTATTCAGTATCAACAAAAGAGCTGAGACACAGACTCAGTGGTAAGACTGCTTAAGTTTGTCTTCTAAGTCTGATTAAGTTATTCCATTTCTTGTATTCTTCTTTACAGCAGAAATGTAGTTGTGTCTTATGGTAACACATTGGTTATCACTTAAAACCATGTTTGGTAAATCTTAGGTACTCAGTGTTAGCTGTCATTATTGAAACAAGATTGTTTTGAGAATTTTTTGAAGATTGTTTTTAGTATTAGATGCCAGTTGGAACTTTATATTTTTGAGGAACTGAATGTAGTGAATTATGCACATAATCCCAGCACTAAAGAAGTTGGTGAAGGATCATGAATTAGGGCCAGCCTAGGCTATATAGAGTCAGCTCCAGGCCAGCTTGGATTACATTGAGAGATCCAATCAATTAACAAACAAATTTTATTTATTTTGAAATAATATTTTTAGTGAATAATGGAAAATGATAGCAATGTTCACTTGAATGTCTCCTATGCGGCATATGTTTCATTACTATAATTTCACATATATCTTTATTTTACAAATAAGTAAACTAAGTTACAGTACATGATTGCTAAA